GAAATCGAAATGTATAAAATGGCTTGTAGTGTTGGAGGCATTGGTTCACTTACAATGTATTAACATTCCTTTAGCTGGCGCTGAAATACATTTTGGGCGGCATTCTGGGCAGTTTTCTCGCAGTAAACGTCGTCATCGGTGCCAGATGAATGTTGATCTCAAGAGCTTTCTGCTTCACGGTTTAGAATAGTTTCTGTTTCGTTGCCTCCAGTTTGTCAGGAAGACGCTCGTGGACTAATGGTAACAAGTGTCGTTGATGACGGCAGGATGGTATATACGTGTTTGCAGATTTCTGGGCAGGTGGCAAAGGTACCGTTGCTGAAGTACTTATCGGACATGGATAGATGTCTCGGGTTGTCGATGGTTGATGAGCATCTTACCATCTTGGTGTAGGAGAAAATGTCCACCAGCAGAGGCTTGAGTGTAGGATGGTGTAACATTAACCTCTACATCAGATGGAAGTACTGGGCAGCTATGTAGATCGGTACAGACTGGCCAGTACACTCTACCAGGTTTTCACATCTCGAAGCAGATCATCGTCTTCATTGTCACGTAAACCTAACTTATTTGCTTCAACGTGCCTGCCAGTAGTTCTTGAAAGGTTACAGTTATAAGTCGTGATGACCTTGTTGATTGTGGTTGGAATGTCGTTTTCACAACAACATTAGTGTACGGTGTTTTTCCGGTGTTCTTGTTTCTAAACCTGTTGCCATTATGATGGAAATTCTGCAAATGACGCAACAAACTTGATCATGTTCCCTTTACACTGATGGCGTGACCAGTACAAATAGTTTATACACTCGACGTCACTAACACCGATATATCAAAGATAGTTTCCACGCAACATGTAACTTTTCTGTATGTCGGTCATCTTAAAAGTATTTACCTATCATCCATCTTATAGAGCCCTGTTCACTCGAGAAGCATCCTTCTGTAATCTCCGCTTAAGTCTGACAAACTATAACCACAAAACGCAATGGGCTGTAGCTCTTTATCCCATATAAAACACCCAGGGTGAGGGTATAATAAGGTCAAACCATTTCGGAAAATAGAATAAAATGAATCTATTTTCTATATGTAACTCATGTACGACGTTTGGTGGAACAGCATGTGTTGAACGTCCATTGTCTACGGGTATCTCATCTCCGACATTGCCAGATGTGTTATGTGTAAGATTGTCAGGAAGCAGCTATGGTTTAAACATACCTGGATAAGTAAACAAACCACACGTGCTTATATTAATGCTCCTCCTCATCTTACTTTAACAACGGCTGGTTTTACGCAAGACTGTGCTCAACATAATGTAGGAAAGTACACCGATGAAGAGCACGAACCGATTCATTGCTGACACTGGTGTCTGTGAAATGTAATGGTACAGTTTTCCAATTTCAAAAATATTGCTTTCGACACTAAAGTGAAGTCGTGAACAGACTGGATGACCATGTTCATTGAACTATTACTGACGGAACGACTGCCATGTTTAGATCGCACCCATACATTCTAAAATTACATCATTCTGATATTATCGTGGCAAAACCTGAAACCACAATTGTTTTCACGATTGTATCAGGACGCTACATTAAGGATTTAAATTCTTTCAATTAGCATTAGATATTTCGTGAATTAGATTGTTCCAAAGTTTAATCGTATCAGGAAGAAATGACTTGGCATGGGACTGGATTCTATATGTGATCGTTTGTAAGTTAGAATTCTAAGATTATAAGTTGTTATGAAACCGTTGAGATGTTTAGATGATATACAACTTCTCAGTTTGTGAAATGTATTACGTTTGGAGCGGTGTCTTCTTTCTTACCTTTTGGTATGACTAGTAACACGAGCTGCTTCATTATAAGTTCTCAGTGCGTTCAAATGCACATTCTCGAGTGATTATTATTGTTCGTAGGCATGATAATAGATGTATACACAACATCAAACGTATGTATTAGTAGCCTCTTCCTAACGCTCCTAAAGCAGTTGATCATTCAACAAGCATTTCTAATAATTTCACTGATTTGGATTTTCTACTTTGAAGGGAAATGCCTAAATGTTTAGGAATTGTCATTTCAGGCTACAGGATAAGAGATGAATCCATCACCTAGGTGTATTTCACGAATGACGTGTGGGTGCCATTAGAAACATCACAAGATAAATATATCAATAGAAAAGTTGTTTTCTAGATATGGACACTAAGAATGACTGCAAAATATTTACAATGTGATTTCATTCCATCACAGTTCCCTTGTACGAAAACAACGAAACAACAAAAGCTCGATACCCTTTATCACAATATGTTTTGTCTTTAAAACATCCACCTGTAGATACAACTTATCAATTTTAGACTTTAAGCGTCTCTCATACTATCATCTTGTCTATACCCTTGTCACGAGGATTGCGTTATAAAACATAACGTCAATATCAAGACAATGAGTACATGTTTATGGTGTATTTTCATTGATAATACCAGCACGAAACACGTTCAATAAGCACTTATTTCACCGGCAACGGCAGCACGCCGAATATACCACATGGCGACAAGTACAGATGTTGTGAGAACATCACTGGCAAGCAACTCCTGCAACAGAACACTGCAGCAAGCTATTGATTGAGCTGTACTTGGTATATTGAACTCTCACAACGTGCAAAATGATTTTATAGTGCAAATGATAGTCATAAACAGTCTATAGAGTGCACTAGGGCACGACAATTGTCCCTTGCATCTTGAAATCTAATTGCTAGTTAAAGAATAATATGGCTGTTTCAGACGCAGTTACGGTTTCAGATGGTAGATGAATCACGTTCCTCTAAGGATTGTGTTTTTCTGAAGATGGGCTTGTGGATAAAACATGCTGTTTTGCGTGTCCGTTGTGGCAATGCGATGTCGTGTATTGACTGAAGGCGGCAGTTACGGAAGGCTTTGAACAGAAATATGAATTCGAGGACATTGCCAGTGTCTACGAAAATGATAATCTGAGGCAGTCGATACAACAGCGTCGTGTATTTAATCTATGCATTTCTTTGAAAAATGACATCATTTTAAGGCCATTGGAAGTAAAAAAAATAATTAAGCGATGAATTAATCAGTTTGAAAGCCATGGAATGTTAGAATATCATTTCCGGCCAACGTAGAGTGAATGATCTGGGTTAGAATTGATCTTCAACAGCCAATGCTTGTGATAGGAGGCGACTAACGGGGTCGTGTGGTCAGGATCGTGGACGAGCTTGATGCATATCTACGCATACCCAATTTGCGTACATCGACGATCATGATGTCATTCACTGGATTGTCACTTCCAGACACAACTATGTACAATCCTCCGTCGTTTAACGAGAATATTGCTGAGTGAGGTGTTAATTAACAAACAAACAAATGAATGTTAGATAACGGTCTTGGTGTTGGAGGACACTGGAGTTGCTAATTTGTTAATTTATACCTGTATTAGGCACCTAAAGAAACGGGCTTCATTACATTAGATGTTTAGGCGACAACAAAAGTGGGAATCGAAAGGTCAGAATGATGGGAGAAGAAAAATATGAGTGAGTCTGCATACTGTCTTTACGATCATATAAGCTTTAAATGGAATCCGAAGTAATGCAGACCTTCTTGGACATTTACTGGCGGTGAATCAGGACCACTGGTAGCAAACCTGCAGGGAACATTATCATGGGATATCTTAGGAGTCAAACCTACGATCCTGCCTAAGGGACTGATGCAACTCTTCACAGAGAATGGTCGCTCTTCAGGCCCATGTATTTCTAGTCAACATCAAGGAAGCTATTTTAAATATTTCCATTGCGATACATTGCAGTTATATTTATTTTGATATGAAGTGATACATGTGTAGGTCCGTGTTACACAGTGGAAAATGTCCACTGCCCTAAGCAAATCACTTACTTTTGCGGGGGCATATTTAGAACGATCTGGGGTATCGAATTTGTCTTCAAACCTGACATGGACGTTCCCACGTCTGAAGAAGCTCTTTCACATGTAATGACTAGTTTGACTGTCAATCTTAGAGAAACGTCATATTGATTTAGACGTTAACCAGCTTTCATCCACTCCTGTGCGAGTCCACAACGTTAACAAATACCTGCAGAAGTCGTAACAACATACGAAAAATATATAAAGAAAAGGCCACATGATATCGTAAACATGTAGTCGTATGAATGTTGATATTTGCATCCCTGATAAATGAGGCAACATTAACCTGACAAGATACTTGTTAAATATTGGACTTGACAAATACTAGGTTCCCTTTGTGTACCCCAGCCGTTATAGACGCTAATCACCCCGCCAAATATCGAAGCGCCCTCAACTATCGCCTCCTGTTCTGGATGTTTGTACGCAATCCCAAACCCAATGACCGTGTAATTACCTTCTCCAGTCGATAACAGAAACTCTGAAACCAATTGAGACATCTATCGGTTTACATTGGCCTCCTTGAGGTTCCCATGTTGATTCTGCCGGAATCTGCCAATATGACCATGTATCCGTTATCAGTAGTATAGGGATTGATATGCAATATATATTTATGTTATATTATGATGAACATACTGTATTGGTAAATACGAGGACAATGTAGTGAGCATGCAATACCCATCTTAATATATATGTCAAGAGAAAACGAGATCGAGAGTTAATAGGGATAAAGATGTGGTGTGGTATTATCAAAATATAAAATTCCAGAATCATTATTTTTGCTTCATGCAATTATGAAGGTTATGAAATAATTCGTTGCCCATATTAAAAACGTCATTTACAGGACATACCTACGGTCATTTCATCAGTCAACCATTCATATATATATTGTTTAAAATAATAAAAACATAGGTGAAATATGTTTTCCAACTCATCTCACGTAACTTCGTTGGGTTTTAAGTCACAGTGGAGATTAAAGAGTTTCTCTTGCTTCTTGTTTGTATTTTTTTCCTCAGATTTGGAAATCATGTTGTGATTTCATAAATTATAATGATTATTAATGAGTTCTGTTTTCATTCCACAGGTTACTGGTTGTGTTATATAAACAGCACCATCAACCCACTGTGTTACGCTCTATGTAACGTCAACTTTCGCCGAGCGTTTTGGAAGATCCTTACATGCCGGTGTGTTCCAAAACGAGGCTCCATTCATCAAATGATGATCGCACCCATCCACGCCACGAAGTTCATTCCAAGATGAAACAAAACAAGAAGTCACTCTGGTTTTATAACGTCTTGCCATTGGCCCAATTTAGTTGTTGCCATGGTGCACATTGAAGGTCACATGACCAAAGTCTTCCCACCGAGTTGTCAAGGATACAGTCAGGAAAGTTGAAGGTCACTTGACATGTCCATGATGAAAGGGCGATCACTCTCACGTTTATGAGGCGTTTGACCCTTCTACATATTAAAGTTGAGTAATCTACCGGAGACATCCACTGTCGATGACGCCCTTTGAGAAATGAGGCAGTTAGTTTTTGCAGTTGCGGTGTTAAAACACAAATTTAAAGCAATCAGTTTTATATAACAACTTTGTAAGACACCGGCAGATTGTTATTGTCTGGTGCTACACATGTTGGAATACATGGTTTGTGAGACTGCACTGTATGAGCTTATTGTGTGACTGACCTGAACATGAGTATACATATCGACCTGCACTGTAGTCATCACAATCACAATTAGTGCAAATATGATCAATGATTTTATGCCATGTTTTCATTTTCAAGATATTTTGCAATAATTATTATAGGTTTTTTTTCACAAAAGTGCTAACAAAGTCACATTTGTAATGGCTTACACTGAGGTTTGCCATCATTGTACATAGAGAGCTCAGCCGAACACAGTAGTGCTTTTCTACAGTTTTGTATCTGTACCGATATTTTGTGTTTCCAACAATGCAATACATGTACAGGTTTATGAGCCAATTTATGTTGTGTTTGAAAACTAGAAAATCTGTTATACAAAATATCACGTTTATATTTTATCTCCAAAGCCTTTATCAAAGGTACACAAACCTGTCATATGCCATTGCTTGGATATCTGATAGTATGCTATACGTTGGATAAAGTATGAGTAATTGTTTTAAAATCAAGATTCCGTTTGGTAATATGATCCTCAAAGTCTGATTGCTTCATATTCATTATACCTTTGGTCTGCATAACATGTTCAACACCGTGTTGGTCTCTATAACATTTCCACACCGTGTTGAAGTTTTAATCGTAAACAAATTTGAAAATGACGTTGGTTATTCACAGTGATCACCTCCTTTGAAAGGGTTCCTGTACACAGTGGAGTATTTTGAATCAATTTCATGAAACAGATGTATGTAATATATTCATAGTAGCAATACACTGCTATACACAGGAACCAGTACAAGTATTAGGGACTATGGCCAACAGCTGTGTACGATATTGTGCGCATCACTTTCCGTACAGACATATGGTCATATTTGTCCTATTTTGAAGTTTGTTTTTTATGGGCATGGTTTATACCGTGCTCCTTCCATACTGACTCTGTTCACTAGATTGGTTATGTTGTTAATGGTTACAGACAATTTATGCTTAAAAGGTGTTTGGAAATGGAGGCACAGTCCTGAAAACATTCTTGATGAAAAGATTTATGATTACACCATCACCACAAGTCGGACCTCAGTCACCCTATTGGTACATTAATTGATATTTGTATGTCTTTTCGATGAATTTACGTGTTCTTACAGTGTATAGACAAAACGTAGTAAGTATACGAGGAACGATTCAAAGGTAAAATGTAATTCCCTTGGTCCGCTTAGTTTAGTGACAATTTAAGACAGTGACTATTCTGTCAAGATTACATAATAGTCATGTCACGGAGAAACAATTTGACTCCACCGTATTGAAAAAGTAAAAGGTTAAGTTAAGTAAAAGTTTGACTTTGTATGTTAAACCTTCGCCTACAAACTCATTTTACCTGTAATATCATATTGTACAGTTGTTTATTTGCAATGTTATTAGTATGCCGAGAGTATATATTTAGTTATATATACACTCATGTAAAGTATATATTAATAAATGGGAGAATATTTGACCATGTGGAGTGGGTCATTTTGAACAGCGAGAATCGTCACCGCATATATAGCATCATGTTCATGGTAAAAAATAAACCTTTTACAATGACGATGTTCGTGTTTTCATTATTAAAAAAGAAAAGGTGTCATTGTACGAATGCTCTTCGAAGTCGTCTTTTTTATTTACTGACAGCATACATGTTTGTAGAAAGTATTAAGTTTTTAAGGTTAGAAATATAAATGTTGGCATCGAATGGCAGTTCAAATTCAATTGGGGTTTCAGTAATCGGGCAGTGGTACGTCAAGTGGTGAGATCGCTTCCAAAAAGCAGGTTAACATTTCTGAATTTATGGGAATATTCTTGCCTATAAAGGTAGCATTGTTGCTGGACATTTTTACCATATTTACCTGAATAATTTCCATACACAATGAAACCTATTATAGTCAGTTTAGTGTCAACATTTGAAGGAAACTAAACTTTTCTTCTTGAAAGCTTGAAAGACACGCATTAACTATACCGTTTTCTGCTGCACATATTTTATAAAAAATGCATTTCAGTTATGCGCAGATGATCGTTTAAAACGTCAAAAGTGTGGGATCACTTGCGTCAAACCACTCAATTTCACATTTAATCTTCTTCTCGCTGTTGATTAACATATTGTACACAAAACTAAAAGAAAACGTGATGGGTTATTACAACGTCAATTGCCTACTAATGACGCCTTGAAGAGTTGTCTGCCCTCAGTTCAGCCTTCATCTATTGCTCTTGTAATTCTATTACGCTCAGTAATCCATAGGCCACAACTTCGTGTCCGCATCCTTGCAATATGTGTAGAATCATCTGATCCACGTGGATGGCCGTAAGGTAGAATTAATCTGCTTGTACGTGGGATGTAATCAAATTTGGACATTGGTTAACTCTTACAAGGTGTAGACTAATTCCAGTTAATTTCAGCGTGCTTGTGCTTTAGTATGCTAGCCCGGGCAATGATGGGATATTACAGACGTTTACAAGGGACGGGTGTAACGTTCATTGTCTTTAAATGAGCGCCTGATGCAGATGGACACGTGCAGGTGCAGAGACAGGATGTATAATTACTGTTACTCCTTGGTCTGTATTGCCATGTATCAGTCCTTGAATACAGAACTGGTCCTGTGTGGCTTGAAACTGGACATTCAAGTACACCCATGGTTTCCTGTGTGTAGTTTAACTCGGCGCTCGGGAGTACTCCAGCTGTAAGGCGTCGACCTGTAAACATTTCATACTTGACCAGACAAACCTATTTTAATATCATGGGAGGTTCCATGTCGCCGCGATGAGACAATAACACCTCACACGTGCCTGAAGACCTGGGCCTCCTTTCACAAAGCAATAAGGTGATCGTACGTCACTATAGCTGAGGTAACCTTAGTGCAATGTTAAAGAATGGGACTTAAGGTTAACCTTGGTAGAGGCTGCTTCGTGACAGGACCCCTGATCTATATGGGACCTATTTTAACCCGGAATCTGTATGGGTGCAGTGGATGGTGGTGTGGATTGGGTTATCGAACATATAGATTTCGGTGAGCTTAACAACAATTCTGATCAAAATATTTCAGCTATTATCTCATTCTTTGATGAAGCATTGACACCAAATCTATACAGTTATGTCAACGGATTGTAATTATGAACCATCGTCTGATCTTCCGCAATCGAGAAGAAACGTAAATAATATACCGAGGTATAAAACATTAACAGTAAAAATATAGCACTAGTGGATGTTTTGTTTAAAAATTTAGCATCATGTTCATCAGCATATAAATTTCCAATTGTACAGAGGGGCATCCGTTTATATGGCCACAAATATCGAATTAAGATGAACTATGCAAACAATACACGTACAATCAAGTTCCATCTCCTGAATTTAATAAACATGTTGCATATTTGATATTTCAAAATTATGTATTTTCAAATGTTGTTTTTCATCTGTTTCAAATTAGATTTTGGACCGTTGGCATTATTAATGTTTGTTGGCCTGTAACATTCAGTAACATAACCTAAACTACACCACCTCCAGCCTATCGACATGGAAATGTATCTAAGTTATTTTCATTGGAAACAAGACGCTCTAATATAGAACAGAATACGAGCTCCTCGCTCGGTTCGTCCGATGCCAGAACTATTCACTTGTTCATGAAATTGTTACTACACAGGAGCGAATTTAGTATTTTATCTATCACTTCCCGTAGGAAAACAGTCATATAATTATTTAAAATTCATAATAGCATTATATTAATAACATTTAAAAATCGTTGTCGTGTGAAACAAGACACATCTACACGATCCACAGCATAATCTAATTGAATTTAACGGAATAATACGTCAAACATGTCAAAAGGTGACACGTATTTATATACCATGCAACTGCCTATCTTTAGAATTCAGAGTCCCTTTGACAAGGCTAACACAGTGATATGGTGATCAATTTTTAACACAGACTTCCGACTGCCGTTGCGCTAAGATCGCTTTAAGGAACAGGCCCCTTCACCACTATTTTGTTGCAATATACATAAGCGAAACATTGCCATGTGACGTCAGGCTAATAACAGGGTTGCTGGGATCAAGAGTGTTAGATCCTCCCAGTAATCTATCTCCTCCACACGCAATGCGTGTTTTCATTAATTGTCAGTGAAACAGTACATGCATTGCAAGCGGGCTTTGGTTATAACCACTGTGTAACTGAGCCTATTGCTAGTGTTATAAGACAGTTTGAACTTCAGCGGGAGAGTTACAAACATATTTATGAAAAATGAAGATTTGATTAATTTGATATTTCATTTCGGCAAGCCGAATCGCCTAGTCATTTTGTTTCAAACTGGTGATTGGGAACAAAAGCATTATAAAGAAAAATCTTTATATAAGGAGAAAAGTTTGAAATCTTTCAGAAATCAGAATCCGTTTTATAACATTGTCCAAAATAAACAGATCGCATCACTTACGCAAAATATGCTATACCAGAGTTTCATCTTGAGTGAGTGAGTATGGTTGTACGCCGCTTTTAGATGTATTCCAGGAATAGGATGTGGGAAGCACCCGAAATAGGTTTCGCACATCGTCCCAATAAAGAGTGAGTGAGTATGCTCTTAGCAATATTCCAGCAATATTACGGCGGAGGACACCAGACATCGTCTTCACACATTATACCCATGTGGGGAATCGAACCCAGGCCTTCGGCGTGACGAGCAAACGCTTTAACCACTAGGCTACCCCACCACCCCTCTAAACAAAGAGACCGCCTTCCGGAGAGCGGAAGGTCGCGGGTTCGATCCCCGACCGCGTCATACCAAAAGACCTTAAAATATGGTACTTGTTGGTCGTTGCCTGGCGCTCGGCATTAATGGCTACAACAAGGACTGGTCGGCTCGGAGTCAGTATAATGTGTCTGAGTGGGGTATTCATGCTTCACTGCGGCATGGTATCTCAGTGGGCTAGCACTATAAAACCAGCTTAAGTCTGGGCTAGTACAAGCAGCCGCACATACACACACACGCATGCACGCCGTCATATGAGCGAAATATTCTCAAGCACGACGTTAAACCCAATTTCACCTCACCTCCCCTCAAAACAAAGAAAATCGAAACCGCGTCTTCAGTGTGCTGCGCGAACGCATTAACCACTATCCCACCATTCAGTAACATTTTGAAAACAAATCGCTAACATAACATATAGTATCAAGCATACATATGTTATCAAACACCATGGTGAAAAGGTGTTGACTGGGCACATGCTGACACTAACAGGAACACAAATACTCTCCCGGTATTGATTATCATTACGCTGCTGAATGTCTCCTTCAAACCGAAAATGTATTGGAAATCTGTACCGCGCATGCTAGCCTGCAGATGTAATGATGGAGGATTTAGCTCCTCACCTTAGTCTATCATTATATTTATAAGCGCCCATAGTCGACAGTGAAGGGTTTGGCGACAGCTGTTTAAATCAGTATGCTTGTTTCTGCGCGTGTTGTGTCATGTTAACACGGTAGGCACTGGCTCTTGAAACTGACTGATTGTTCGAAATTTCAAACAGAGTATGAAACATCCATAACACTGAATAACTTCCAAACAGATAACGGGAGCCAGGTATCCGCATGATAGCTTTAAAGAGCGCAGATGCCACACATTCAACGTGAATGAGTATGGTTTTATGCCGCTTTTATACATTTCCCACCAGTTTACGCCCGGGAATACCATTAATTGGCTTCACACATTGTACCCAACCCGGGCCTTCGGCGTGAGCGAACGCTTTAACCACTAGGCTATCCCACCACCCCCACACAGTTAGAAACGTGCGTAGGAAGTGCTACAGTTTTGAATCATGTGTCATCCAGATAGCAAAGATAAACGTTCTGCAGGTCCAAATAGGCATTTATTTATACCATAGCATACCATTTTACACTTAAATAACAGCAGAGTTACGTAACAGTTTCCAATGAAATGGAAACAACCTCTCCTATAATTATAAAACATTCCGCCAAAAGCAGAGTCCGATGTATAACTTTGAAAAACATACACAATAAAACTCGTGAATGACTACCAAACAGTTATGATACCTCCACGCGCCTGCCATAAAACGTTTCAAAGCGTTACAAGAATCTGTATCGAAACATCGCATCACCTGAATAAGGAAGTTGTTCATCCATAAAGTTGGTACTTATCTGACTCTCCAACTTCTGAAAATGCCACCCAAAGAAGTTTGAAAACTTCACTGATTATAAGGCCCTGATCAAATATGTTTGGAGCAAGAGTCGTAGGTCACACATGACCATTCTAGATCTTACTCGAGAATGTACACAATAATTACTCGACACAATGGAGACATGTCTTTTGGAGAGCTTTATAATGGTTAGTAGTCAAACTGAATTTTTAATAGGTAACTGTTGTAGACACTCTGAATTTGAATTGACCAGAGCTCGAAATACTAAACAGATGAACCAACGTGCGTGTCTCGTTTATGTAAGTCATTTTTTCAATATTTCCATGAGGTTCACGATATGGTTTAAACCGCTGAACACAGATATGGCGCTTCCCAAAACAGATTCGAACCCACAGTAATAACGGATAATGGTG